AACCTTGAAATTGGTTTTGCTCTGTTCCACGTCGGCTCCGGATATAAATTATCGTGATATCGCTAGCTCTGAATATTGTTGTGATATTTTTTTGGGGGAGCCAAAAAAAATCATTTCTGAGCTCTGCAACTTTGGCGTCAATGATCATCTTAATTTGTCGGTTCTCTCACGTTGACCGATTGTTATTCTGTTTTCACCAGTTCTCGAGGCGTTGTGATCAGTCCATGTGTGCAAATAAACATTACTTTTTTGCCTTGCAATAATCCATTCTTACATATCCTAATACTATCGGGTCAAACATGATTATTAATGAACGCTGAGAATTGCTCTGACTCAGAATAGCATTGTAGAATATCACCGACACAGAACAGTGATATCACTGCGGCGCGATAGAAATTGATGTAGATTTTGCTTGCTGGCTCGTAGTCAACACTGGTTAGCGTTGACATGATTTGCATCGTTCGATACTTTAATAAATGTTTGAGGTATGCTCCTCCAAGCGGTCAGTAACGAACATCCCTTTGCTATCGTCTCCTCCCTCTTACCTCATGAATCAGCTAAATTTTTCACGCTTTATTCCCCTTTCTTCTTGATGTTCCTGTTCTCATCACCCGTTCAGACCTCGATGCTCTGATAATTGGTAGGTTCCAGTTGGTATTCGCATTCAAATACTTTTATTCGGTACCCGGACATTTTGCCTATAGACGTTTTGTCTAAGGACAATTTGCCTATTACGCAAAATATCAATTAAAATCTGTCCGTTAGTCAATGTGCCTTTAGACAAACTGTCGTTAGGCAGAATGTTTTTAGGCAGATTGGCCGGTCACGCTTTTATTCAATAATAAAATCTACTTTAGTCACAGCTTGAATGCCGAAACTCCACGAGGGGGCGAACCGTAGTCATAATGAATGACTTTTTGCACATTCATCCGCAATTGGCGTCATTGAACGAGGCATGGTCTCGTTGAATTGAGAACCTTTCGATGAAATATCAAAAGCGTTATATATCATGAGATGCGCAGTCATCATGTTCTTTTCAAATATCACTGAAGTTATCTTGGTGGTGTCATGGCAACGATCATCCAAACAATCTGACGTTAAGTATTTTAATGGAGCTTGATAATAATAAATTTACGTAATGATACATATGACACTGAGTGCTCATTCTGAACAACTGTCATAGCGTTGTGACATTAAGAGAACAAACTGACACTATTGTGCTATGAGATGAGTTTGGTGGGTGAAGAGATAGATGTTTAGACATTTGACATCGCATCTCATCGACTTATGCGCAGCATCGAATCATTCGAATAATCACTGATACTTCATGTTCTCATCATGATTACGAACAAATTCCTCACGAGCACACGTCATTCTCATACTTGCTCTTCATTGCTTACCTGCTTCAAATGTTACTCAACTTGATGCGATTGATCGTTGGGTGATGTTTTAATGATTTGACGAAACCTTTTTAAAAAGCAATCTACTCATGCATTCTCTGTATTGCAACTTTATGTGATTGCAACCGTTCATGTTTTGAATGAATTATGATTAACTCGTTATGTACAAATTCAGCAACAACAATTGAACGTTCTGCTAAATCGAAAGGCTTGGTCAGTACGATCAAGCCACGTTGATCGCATTCGTTTTTTTTCTGCTGTTTACCAGTGTTTTTCTACATCGAAATTTGTTTTGCGGACAGTTTTGCGTTTGTAGAACCTAATCTTACGAAGAAGGAACTAGCCAGAAATCAATTGATTAGGCTACCAAAATTGTTGCCAGAAAACTTCTTTCATTGTCAACTCTTCAAACACTCCGTCAACTGTGTTAAACCATTTATGGTTTGTGCGAAATTCATGAAAGAACTGCACGACGTACTACAAACAGTAGTTATAGTTCAGCGCAAATACGCAAACCAGGCAATTTGATTGTATAAAATGTTGCACTATGCTGGTTTTTCATAACTCAGCGAGCGTCTTCTCGGGATTTTCCCAACAACCGATTAGATTATTTTGCTTATCATTCAGAATGTGTCAACGCTGATTAACGGAAACTTGTAATCAATCGGGTAACGAGAAATACGAGTCGCATTCTTAAATGTGTATGCCGCATCCAACAAGACGTAAACTGAAATACTATAGCGATTCAACCAAAATTCGCATCAAGATTTGCTCATTCGACCAACTTCGTTATCACATCGTGGCCTCACTGCGATACGCCGTTCACACGTGGCAATCAGTGTTTTTCATGATCCACTTACTATTAGTGGAATGCGTACCACCTATCAACGTTGGTATTGTCACCGATCCAGCACTAATGCCGGATGGAGCCGTTTTCTTGCAGTCAGCCTTGGCTGATTTCACGCAGCATAATACCACATCTGATATCATATTCAGGTTTACTGTGCACTGATTGTTGCTTAATTATTCTTTTTTCGACAGCAAGCAGTAATTTGAGTAATACTGCATTTTTAATAATTCCCTGCAGTCCTTATTCAATTAGCAGGCGGACAAACTGAAGTATACGCTGAACGGCATTTTCCATCAGGTGGACTGTGGCAATACACCGTTTACATTGGTTTCTTTAGTTTGGCGTTCAGTCGGAAAAGAATTTTTGACTACGTATACCTGGATTTAGAACTCAACTTTCTGAAAACATAAAAACACAGGTATGAAGTCATAGTAGTTGCATTCGTCCATACGGAACGGGATCGGATTAGAATTTATGTGCGTATGGTGCTCGCAAGTGAAAGAAGTTCGTGGAGCGTTGATTTATATGGTGATTGGGTGCTGTGTTTATGTTCATACATTTTTGTTTCGAAGGGGTGGTGTTATTTCGAAATGCGATATTGTAATGAATGGTGACGAAATATGTGGAAGCAAAGTTATTCATCCTTGTGATCCCATAGGAAGCTGAACTAGTAGTGAGAGCATTGCAACCGAAAGAGTGTGAGCAGTCGCTGCATTCGATCAGTCGATCCCTATTTCAACTGGATGAACTTTTTTAACCGTTGTTAATCGCAATTTTTGCCAGATGCAGCAGAAATCATATTCTCTCTGTATCGTTGAAGCTCAAACGAAATGAATGATTTCTGTTTGTAGCGTTCAATCGGATTCCACCAGAGGCTGTAGGCAAGATGTTGATTCTGGCGCTGGTGCAGCACTCATCGCCGAACTGTATTTCATAAAAGGAATTAAGGCACTTTTTGGTCCCATTTGCCAGAATGGTTCGCTATACTTTTCAATCACAATCATAATTTCAATTCACTATACTTTTCAGCCATCTCTTCAACATTTCAATGAAACAGACAAAAACACTATCACTTTACTAATTTGTAATAAACGTTCTTGAGACTCATTATGAAGTAGTTCTAGTATACCTACTTAAAAGCTCAAGCAATAAATCACAATTCATGAATGGAGTTATTTGTCCCTCATGGAATTTATTTACTTCCAATTATGGCCATTGCATTTTTTTNTTTTTTTCCAAATTCTTTACACATTCGCTGTTTCCTGACTGCTTATGTCTTAATATTGAAAACGCAGTAGCTGATTAAGAACACTCAATCACAGGTTTGACTCTTACGAATCAATTAGTGAGTCAATGGGATTTGATCGAATTCAGTGTTTGGAGCGATTCTACAAGAAGAAATAGGAGTCTCATCGTTCAGGTAGCGATCATTTTACATCTGTGCTCACTCAGTTCACACATTGCAACATTATTAAACAAAAATGAATTTCCATGTTCTGCGATTTATCGTAAGAGCATTACATGTTCAGTATTCGTAGAAATATGTGCAAACTGCTGCTAGAATCAATCGGCATTTGTTGATTTCAGATGTCAACGATGTCGACGAAGAATTTAATAGCCAATCTGATCGCATTGCTTAAAGGATTGAATCGGACTCAGGTCGGCATCGAGAAATTCCATCTTTTCATCGATTATCCAGTCTCACTTTCAGATATTATCTCATAATAAATTTAAGATTGCATTGATATGGAGTCCTAAAGTGTTTCCATATGTTGATGCGCCATGGAGTTCACAAATTGACATTGTCCGACAACAGTTATCTGACAACGGCATCCAGCTGCTCGTTGATAAACCTCTTTATGCTGAAGAAAATTCAACAGAAGCAATCACGGCCATGTTGCTCAGCATCAAACATTCACCTCAGAGTTAGTTTACTGCTCGATAATACGACAATTTCAGTTATTTGTGACTTTTCTGCGTTCCTGATGTTATTCATGATCAATACTTCTTCAGAAGAAAAGCATTCATGACAGTTAATCGGTATTGGAAATTCTTTCGCACCATAAATATTTTTTCATGAAAGCACAAATGGAATTGACAATCAATACGTTTGCTGCATTGCTTCCGCCTCATAATTAGTCTTCCTTCCGATTTATTCCAGTGATAAGGTGCACTTCATGGATTGCATTGAACGAAAAAAATTTCAGTATTTGTGCCACTAATTGGTTTTAATCTTCTGGATTACGTGAATTTTATGATGGCTTTCAAATCAGCCAGTATGAATTTCAATGAATATGCTGTCATACTGACCGTGTTCGCAATCAATGGAAACTTCGTACCTCCGTGGATTTTGTCAAATGGCAAGACGGATCAAACTCTAAAACACATTTACGATAACTCGATCATCGTTAGTTGTTCGAAAATTTCTTTCTCGCTAACTGTCTGCTGGTTGGTGTTGCTGACGATATCTCGAGCGAACTGGTATCTTAAGATTTTCCTTCACTATAATGGAGTCACAGAATTTTACGTTTATATCCGACTGTTCGATTGTTTCGGTTTTATTCTTTCGCCATTGCACAACCATTAAAGACCAATCAAGTTGGCATTTATAATTCTTTTCAAAATTATGAATTCTGCAGCTACTTAACGACTTCTACGATAAAGAAGCTGTGGAATTGATCAATGCAAGAGTACCAAATGTTTCTAATGAGGTCAGTGGTATTTTGTACCCTCACGCGATGTATCTATTCAATTATTCATTCTTTTCATTCAGCAATTACAACTCATTAAAACTTTATGCCTCCGTCTCATCAACAGCATTTCAAAAATTATCTCTTTCCTACCAACGCATAGCTCCTTCCGCAAAGCACAGGAAATCACCAGTCTTTACGAGAATCTGATCGCCATTTATGACTTGTCGACCACAGAGATGTGAGGGCCACATCTCTACACTGTACAACATTTTTTTTCAAACGAGGCTGCTCGAAATAAGCTTAAAAACTACGCTGCGATTGGTCGAAAGAACACACTTCCAACGATCGCGTAGAGCAACTATTAAAAACAATCCATAGTCGTGAACCATTGTGGAACAGTAATAAAGAGCGATTTTTATTACTGCAACCTAATGGATCCATAGTGGTCGGCATATCAACCGTTCGATGGCCAAGTAGCAATGAATTCTAGTTGCAACAAATATTTTGCATGATTCAACACAACTGAGTAGAAGTATCGGTAAATAATAGTAACAAAAATAGATAATCGGAGGATCGTCACAACGATCAACGCTCAGTGTCTAGTTCGAACCTTTGCTGCATGTAATATTCATTGTCAGTTGAGTGGTTATAAGAATGGTATCTGCTACAATCGGCTTAATATTGTTTAGATGCAACTGCTTGCGTATTTACAAATCTATGAATCAGTTTGGCTTTATGCGACACAGCTTCAACGATTTCGTCGAGATACAACGAACACTGATTACACTAATGATTCGGTACAGTTACTGAATGGTATGCGGAACCTTCGAGTTGATGGTACGCAGTTTTGATTACCGTATCCATCACTGAGCTNNAGGCAACATTTAATGAAATCCTTCTTATTTTATCATAATATCTTTCGGAGATAGGTTCATTTTGAATGCTCGCAAGTGACGAATCATCAAACACCTTTCGAACAGGTCAACGCAGAGAATTTTCCTCATACATTTTTAAGTTTCCCAAGTTCCCTCAGTTTCCCTCTGCTTTGCGTTCTTAGCTTACAAATGCTCGCATAAATTTCGCCACTATTTCAGCATTTTTAGAGTCAGTGATGAAATCTTTGGAAATACCATTATTACAGGACCGTTCGGACCGATTGTGCTAAATAATGATACCGTTCGGATAAGTCCGTTCTCAGTTAGGTCCGTGCAAAGAGACGCAGAGCACCCAGTGAATTTGATGTCGATTAATTTGACAGAGAACTGCCCTCTAAGCAAGATCGGGCAACCAGAATGTGTAAGATTGGTAAGTCGTCTCTGCAGATTTGCATTTATAAATGACCGTATGTTGACCATACGAGCTGCTGGTAGGGAGTGTGATTAGATACGGCTGGCAACTAGAATATTTGGCTGAGAACCGGATTCCAGAATCCAGAACGAACCGCTCTGGATTCCGCTTCATTTTACCGGTGCAAATGGCTACGATACGCATGGATCGCTATCGTATTCGCTGAGTGCGTGTGAAGAATATTCTATATGTGCAAAAACAAATCGGTTGAAGAGTTATTTTGCACTTCAAAGTTTCACCGTCGAATGTATGATTACAAAGACCGCATCAGATCCATCAAACTTGCAACCGCATTCCTTTCCATGAAACTCATGCGAGAAATACTTCACGTTGTCAGAATACGTTCACAAATAATTCAGATCGGCGACAATAGAATGTGTCCTTTTAAATTTAAATGTGCACCAAATCGATAAATTAAAATCATAACGGTTTGGTCATTATCTCAGCATTTAGTCAAATCAACGAGTTTGAGCGTGTGTTATTTATCAAGTGAAGTGTCTGTTGCATGATTACTTGAGCAAAATATGAATGTTCAAGAAAGCTGAATATTAGTGGCTCACACATCTTTCGATCACATGCTGCTTGATCATTCAATTGAGCAAGAATATAAGAATCATTCATACTTGACCTTATATTTGGCGTTAACTCACGTCGGAGACTAATTTTAACCGATCTCACAATCAAATGCTCGTAACTAAGTGAACAAGAAACGCTTATCATCAAAAAATAAACCAGAATTCAAAATGCTCCTATTGCATGTCCAGCGTGCTGCAATGGCTGACAACACTAATCCAGTGCTTGCTACTTTGCCACCTGACGTACCGAATTGCGGTCTCAATGGCGAATTATGCGATCAAACAGGGTTAGACTTCTCTTGTTCAATGCAGTATTGCATTTTTGGAAACTGATAGCTAACGCTTCATCATTCTTTCTTCCATTTAAATTAATTCGTTTTCTACGAATCATGTCTTTTCGTCCTTTTGTCATCCCTTGGGTGCAGTCGAAGACATCCAAGTTAATGGTTATTCGAAAGAGAATCAATCGTAGCAAAATTGCATGAGGCTGTCTTCGATTGCGCAGTTACACCAATCACGATACCTCGTTTCTACATTGATAGTTATTTCTGGTTTCAGTACTGTACTCATAATCGCAGCTGTTATGATTGGTGTACTTCTTATCATTGCTGTGTTCATTATTTTTCGGAAATTGTAAGTTGTTGATTTTTACAATTTATTTAGATGCATAGTAGGATTGGAAACAAAAGAATGATTTTTTCGGTACATCCCTGCTGAAGGTCGGAAGAACCCCGAAAAGAGATCTTACCCTGCCGAGAAAAAAACCCCTCGAAAAGCAATACTCTCTCTGCAAAAAATCCCTCTCTCGTTTCTAGGTAAGAAGAGCCAATGGCTTACAATTAGTTTAACGGACCAACTTCTATTTAAACAATAGTTACTGATCAGGTAAAACAAAGAACTGTTTCGCTTGATGCATGAAAGGGTATATTCAATTGGAGGTAAGAGTGCTTAAATCATGAAAATGTTTCGCATATATCAATTTCAGAAAAAGCGGTGAAACTGCTCAAATGCCGTGGGCGATCCCACAAAGGCTCATCAAATTCGTTGATTTGGAAGCAACAACGTCGGTGAGATTGAATTATTTTAAATCGAACCAAAGCGGTACTTAAAAACTTTTAGGTTTTTTCTGTGGTGTTGGGAAAGGCTGTCAGGATGTACTCTTAATGTAGACCGTAGACAAAATGGGTTTATATCATTATGGAATGCACCTCCATCCAAAAGTCTTATGTAAGATTCTGATTGTTGTGGGTAATGAAATAAGCGTCACCATCAAATGGCTTGACGTGCTCCGATATCTGATCATTTTGCTACCTCAGCACGTTATCGGAATAGCTAGTACCACTGTTTATTTATTTGTTTAATCTGCAGCTGTAATGCATAACGAACTTATGCCTCTTTATTATCACCTAAATTACATTCTTCCCTCCTTAACATCCTTCCATTCACATCATTATGATAGGGAATCCTTCATCTTGACGAAATTCTAATTCGGATTGGTAATCTGGCGAACATGGACAGGTAGGGCTACCTTGCCATATTGTTCAGTGATTTTTGAGGTGAGAGGTTTGAAATAAACCCTACCCTCCGATTGACCGAGGGAACATGTGTCCATTGATCGCTCGCAGTGTCTGTTGAAAACAAACGAAAGCAGTAAACCAGCAACCTTTCCGGACCAGTAATAAATAAGGATTTAAATCAATGCAGTCGAATAGATCCATAGCGATAGGTATATTCACCATTTCAGAGCCAAGGAAACATGAATGTTCGCTACCCCAAATATATCGCACAATTGCATGTAAGCGAGAAGTGATCGAGTAAATCATCGAAAGTCACAGCAATGATAGCCCAAAGCGCTCTTACAATCAACCGCTGAGTGTTTGAATAATAGATAACTCATCATAGTTTGGAAGGGGATACGTGAACGAGGAAAACTCCATTATGAAGTGTTCACAGATGCAAGCTGTTTCTTGGGTAGTGATCAATGGGGTGATCTGGTCAAAAAGAGATGTTCATGTCAACAACTTGGGTATGTCAAAACAGATGTTGTTTCAGCTAATGTCAATTCACAGTTTGCAACAACATATGGAATCGAAAGCAAAACTCAGAGACCTACTTCGTTCGAGACAACTCGCAACCATCGAACAGTCTTATGTGATCATTGAACCTTACATCTTAAAACAAAGACTTGTTTTTGACAAATCTGATATGTTATTGCTCTATCAGGTGAACAGTCGATACTTATTCAAACAAAGAACTGAATTCAATCTTTACAGGATGTTTAACAAAACAACTTAATCGAAATTTCGAGAGGATAACCTATCATTTAATGAAAACGTTTAATTGCCACATGTATTCGATTCATACGAGCAGTCAAGTAAAACCGTTTGCAACTGCATGACCATAACAATTTCTGCAGATGAAGCAAGCTGTTCACGATAATATAAACGCATTTATTGGCATAAGTTTCGACAAAATGCCACAATTCTATGCCACGTGGAAGCACTGTTTCCGTGGAACACTCGCAGATCTAATTTTTGGTGGTGTGCAGGGTAATGATCCAAATCATAAACTGGAATCGGAAGATGGTCCAGCGTTCGATCAGAATTTTAAAAGTGCTTTCGTCCGTGATATCGTTCGAGTGAGTCGATCTGTTGACCAAATGCCATCAACGATTAATGACCATTTACAATTCATTATTCACAAGATTTCATGGGAAAAAATTCCTGCTTGTTTCAGGGATTAGATTTCTTACATTCCTCTTCGATTGGCTATCATGGTTCATTAACACCATCACAATGCCTTATCGATAGCCATTGGATTTTGAAGATTTCTGGTTTTGGACTTGCGCGAATGATGTATAAGTGGAAACAGAACGGAGCGATTGCCACTCACGATGGATTACCATTCATACCAAATTCAGGTATAAATGAATTAATTCTATTACACTTACATAAATCAGCTCAAAATCATCAATCCCCATCTTCTCGCTATCTAGATAAGCCTTGGTATTGACTTGACAGCAACTCAAGACCGTGAAGTGTGAATGATATTAATATAGATTTTAAAATTTAATATTTTAATGAAATTGATTTATTAATGAATACTTGATGCCGTTCATAATTGCAGAGTTGCATTACTATGCTCCTGAATTACGACGGCGTCTGAAGACACTGAAAAAAGATTCAGCAAAATTACCAAATAAGCAAGGTCAAGCCGCCGATATGTATGCGTTCGGAATGATCCTCTATGAGATTGTGTTTAGGCGAAAACCAGTCTATATTGATGATTCGAATAAAGGTGATTGTCACTATTCCAGCTGTGGTATTCTTGAAGACGAGTAGAAATGAAAAACTAGTGCACTTGTAAAATCCAATGTAGCAACAACAAAATTATTCCGATCCCAAAAAGTTTTGATAGTCGGAGGGAAAAATTTCATGAGGTAATTCTCTGTTGGATCCGATTTATTTCGTTGGTGAAGAACTTCAGAAGAATGCCAAGTCTGGTATTCACATTCGTAACGTTTGGCTAAGAACAATTTTGCATTGAAGAAACAGCGTTCTCCGATGAGGAACAAGGATTGTTTTGTGAGGCAGCCGAGGCGTTGATTCCGATATATCCGTCAATGCCGAATTCTGAAGATATACATCCGGATTTGGTTGGTTTAATGCACAAATGTTGGAATGGTGTGGCTGAGCAACGTCCTGACGCGACTCTGGCGAGAAAAATCACCGATGCCACTCTGAAAATGTTAGTCGAATCTGCTTCGGCAATCGCCTGACATTATTCTTGCAACTTCTAAAGAACCCAATCGGATCTGTTTGGTGCTAACTCTAATGAAGAATGTTTATCGGCACTATCTCATGTGAATGGTTTTCAAGCAATGTTTTCAAATGATCTCTCATTAACGATGATTCAGATCAATGGATAGAACCCAGCTAAATCCTTTGATAAAAGTGACCCTCATATCATTCGATCAGTTGATTCTTTGCATTAGCATACTCGTGCTATTCATCCTTTTTACTATCGTATTTTGAAATTATAAGCAAATTGAACTTACTGCTCTATGGTCGATGATCATTCATGGAAATAAATATTGTGCCACTATTTGTGGAATCTTTTGAAGCGATGTTTTGAATGCATTTTTTTCGCTTCAGGACGGGTAGTCTTGTTGATCAAATGCTCAAGAATATGGAACAGGTCTGTTCACATTATTACTTTAATCAGCAATGAGCACTGGTAATAATGAAATTATTAACCTCACCATTCCCCGTTCTAATTGTATCATGACATTGGCTAAAATCTTCCAAGGAAACAGAAGTTTTTCTTGTTGTTGAGGTCAATTCTTTTAGCAGTATTGTCAACCGATGCATTCCATTATTCGAATGTGCTCTTACTGATTGCGTTAGTGCTGGCTTTAGCGTTCATTGAATTGCCCATATGAATGATCGAAGGAAAATTTTCGGCTCATTTCAGTATACGAACAATCTGGAGAATCTTGTCAAAGAGAGGACCAGTCAGTTAGAACAAGCGCAACAACACGCCGAACGACTTCTTTTGGAGCTGTTACCAAAGTGTTTATCGTTACACTGAATTGTTTTCTTGAGAAGTTTTTAAATTATCTGAAGGTGACTATCGTTGGTGTTTGTTTGAAGATCAGTTGCGGACGAACTCAAAGTGGGTCGACGAGTTGATGCAAAGAATTTTAAATCAGCGACAATATTGTATTCGGATATCGTTGGTTTCACCTCTTTGTGCAGTGAAAGTGAACCAATGGAGGTGGTCCAACTACTGAGCGGTGTATTCAGGAAATTTGATTTGATTATATCGATGCATAAATGCTATAAGGTTTGATCAGCGATCAAGATGCTCGTTGTTGCTTTTATAATTAGAGACGTTGATTATCAGTTTGATTCAAATGAATTTGCAAGTAAAATTTGAATTTTTTCGAAATGAAATTCTTCGCGAACTTATACTGATTTATTAGGAATCAATAGTGAACAGAATTTTTGTGGTGATTCANATTTGTTTGAGTGAAAAGAATATGAATTTAGGTTGAGACAATTGGTGACGCGTATATGGTAACATCAGGTGTTCCAATTCCAAGTCGTCATAATCACGTACGAGATATCGCTTCTGTGGCAATAATGATGCGAGATGTATGTTACGTTGCAGCACATACCATAAACTTTGAATAACCACTATTCATTGTTCATGTTCAGTGGATGAACTATCATTATTTGAGTTCTCACCGCCACAAAGGTTTAAATTCGAATTGCGGTCTGCAATTCACGTTGACATAAGAAAAAATGATGTAGATTCGACCGTTCTTTTCAATTCATCACATTTCTTCAATTGTTTGCAGTATCTCTTCGAATACAAAATCCCTCATCGACCTAACCAGAACCTTCACTGTCGTTGGGGTTTCAACACAGGTCCCGTCTTCGCTGGTGTTGTCGGACTTTCAGCACCAAGATATTGCGTTTTTGGCGCAACGGTAAACTGTTGCATTCATATGCGACGCTCTAATGTGAAGTTAATATTAAACCTGAAATTGCACAGTTTTGAAAACGAAATGAAAACACATCATCACATTGCTCACAGTAAGCAACGTGAACGGAATCTGCAACACTTCGAAGCATATTTTCTGATGACGTTTAAGCTTTTGGTAACCGGCTTTTATTTGGAACAATGTGCTCTTTCACATAATGGATGTTTTCACTACTTCACACAATAACTTTGCACATTAACGATGCATTCATTATATTATGTCGCCGTTTTATCTTACAGCATCGTATCATCTAAATGGTCATCTTGTAAATGCATAATGATTCAATGCAATCAACTCATGCGAAAGTTTTAGGCGACGTTAGCTTCAAAAATGGAGAACAGCGGCATGCCAGACCGAATTCAAATGACGCTGAAGAGTTATCAACTGCTCTCGGCACGATTTCCCGAGTACCGCTGCTCTCCAAGAGGTGGTGTGAGAATAGAGGTGAGCATATTCAAAACAAAGTGGCTGATCAGTTGGATCAACTAGCTAATTTTCGACTTTTCGATCATTCCTTTTCACGCTAATTTATTGTTCCATTCGTTGACAACTGTTGCGATTCATCGTCGCAATGAAAAAGGAAAAGCATTTCGCTTCAGGGTTTTGGAACGTTATTGACGTATTGGTTGGAGGGATGTGAAGAACTGTTGAAGAGCGATCATTCAGGAAATGCGGATCTTGATGATGTTTCAAACAGTGAATGAACAACGTTGTGATGAATAAAACGAAGCACATAAATTGCAGGCGTACAGCTGTTCGTTCTTGAATGGTTCAAAAAACTTGTCAACCAGGGAAAATGTTTTCAACTGATTGAATTTACTGAGTGTTATGTAGCGTTGGGATGAAATTAATATTCGAATTATTGCGAAACTCATTTTGGTTGATACACTGATGGTTCTATCGGGATTTTAAACCAGCGACCAAAGCTGAGAACTTTGGTTGACTGTCCTATTCCTGACAAGCCAGAGTGTATTCGTTCGAATGATTTTTTTTGGTATTCCAATAAATTATGTCAAAAAATTCGTTTATTTTGAAACAGTATCATTTAGTTCAGCCACAATAAAATATCCAATCGTTAGTGTTTTTGCGAAGCAGATCCATCGAACGTTTTTCTGAGGTTATAATTTACTCGCTGATTTCAACGAGCTACACATCCTATGAGGCTGATTCATTGAATATTCTAACATCATTCGCTTGCGAATACTTTTTAATATGACAACTACATTTATGGCGGAAACTGGATCCCTTTTGGTTACTGTAACTCTAATTCATTTGATAATTTTTGACACTTGGTAATTCTTTATGATAGTTCTATCAATCCCCAATTTCGACGCTAATTTACTTTTCAATCGATAATTGCGATACGTTCACGCTGAAATGATTAACATTTGACTTCAGCAATCCTTATTTTCGATTAATTGAGAAAATGCTTTAATTTCATCCAGCCAGTTCCGCATCGAAGCTCAACTCTTATATGAGAAAGTTCGAGCGAATGAAAGCAATTTGTTAGACGTAATTTGAAATTTAAAAAAACCCTGCAAATCTCTGCTATGTGCAGTAGATTTCTATTCACTTTCGTACTTTCCTATCAACCACCATATACGATGAAAGTGTTCGAAGTGGACAAAAAAGTGATATGTCGAAATGTACAGTTCGTTTCACCATGCTGCAACCATGAACTATACAATTATTGACTGTTAGCGATAAGCTGGCATTATGTCACTTGCTTGAATTCAAAAAAATGATTTGTATGCGGTCATTGCTCAGATGTTAGTCTTGATCGTAAGTGCACATTTGTCTCTCTGGATAAGATCTTCCACAGTACACATCCTCTTGGTATGTGTTCCCCTAATGTCAGTATTTAATATATTCTGAGCATCATTAAAGCACTCAAGCCCGCAGGCGTTTAGATGCTACAGTTGAATGGTTTCGTCTTGAATTCGTAATGCACGAGGGAATGTGGATTTATACGTATGTATATATATAATCAATAGGAAACAAAGTATGTCACAAATTAAGGCCACAACATGTGAAGATCAACGAAAAAATGATGCAATACGAGACGAAACAAAACTTGAGGATGAACATGGAATAACTAAGGAGAACTAAAAACAAACCAAAAAAAGAATGAGAAGAAAAAGAAACGGAAGAACGATATCATTGAAAAACGGCATCACATGACTATTGATAATGAGTGACAATCACTTCGACAGAACATTATATTTATAGCAAATAAATTAGATATCAACATGAAACATTTGTCATTCGCATAGCACCGTTCAATAAAACAGATGTTTTTGACGTGTTCTTTAAAAACCGTTGCACTGAAATAAGCATTATCGTTTGTTGAAAAATATCGCTGATTTTCGAACGATTCTTTCGACGATTAGACGTGATCGTGCATTTAGCGGATTATTTCCATTCAGTATGATTAACGGTCATAGGCGACAAAATCCAAAAGACGCTCTGGTGATTATCATTATTCGGGACTATATTAATTAGCAGAGTAATGATTGGCAGCAAGGTGATTAACTGAACTTAGCTTGAATGGCGCAAACTGTTACTGTTGTCCAGCCGAGGACTGCATTAAAATGTTCATAAGAACCTCTGTAATGAGGAGGGAGCTTCAGTTCCGAGGAGAAAATATTCACAACACCTTCATTGCAGGGAACGATAGCTATGAGGGAAATAATTGAGCGAAGCAAAATTCTGTACCTCTTATCTGATCACGATTTGTCATTTGTCATTGTCATAACGGACTGGAAAGTTTATAAGGTAAGCTATGAACAGTGCAACATGAACGCATTTTTGTTTGAATTAAAATACATCGCAATGAAACAAATTGAATGTTCGCACATTGGAAAAAACTGGATTGAGGGGAATTAGGTCAGTAGACCCATGAAACAGGTAGCCATTGCGGACAAGCGTGCAGCTTTTCAACTATTAACTCCAACTGTCGAATCGTTTCATCGATATCATTGTTCAGGATCACATAATCGAATAAATGACCGAATGCTTGCCGAAGGATCTCGCTGTCTTTTAGCAGACGTTCTAAGCTACCATCAGGCTGCAATTAGACCTCGTCTTACCATGTTTTATAGGAACATATCACAAGCGAAACTATCGTTTCAAATGCTATCGAAATAACAATACAACAATCGATATTCAAACAACAGTAATTCTATAGGCCGGCTGCAAAGCATTTGGGTGGAAATGAAACAACTCACATCTTGTAAACCCTGCAGATTTGGTGCTGCTATAAATACAACAAATGGAGAGTATTCGGCTGTCCTAAGTACCTTCAATGCCTGCAATGATAATCCCTAATCAAACGATGACATTACGATCTCGTACAGAGAAGCTCTATTGATGAGGTATTCAAACGTCATCTCAGGATGTACTGACTAAACAAACCTGTGGTTCAACGTCTAAAATAGCCATTTTGCCTGTCCTATGGATATTTCGAATCGTTTCAAGTTTAGTTCCATACATGCACTCCTCATGCGTACCATATTCTAAGTATTCATTTGCCTGAATGTCAGCTAACATGCAATCGTTCGAAACGAAATAGTAATGCTTTCCATCAATCTCATCCTTACGAGGCTGCCTTGTTGTATCTGAAAAGTGACACTGCTAAACTCAGTTAGTTGGTCGATGATTCATCACTGATTCACTTCTTTAAAGAAAATCCGTTTTATCGAACTCAGATAAAAATGATTATTCATTCATCGATCCAAGCGTATAAGTTGTTGTTTACGCTTACGGGGTATGGGATATGCAAATCGCTGAGGATGCCTATGAATGAGTGTATTTTTGATATGACGTCTACCAACACCGTGTGCACCAAGCAACACCAACGTCTTCCGCCGATACGTGGCTAGTCGAATTACCTAAACGAAACACCAATTATAACACTTGAATCCATCTGAGTCGTCACATAATTTCAAGTACAAGCTCACTGGAACAGATCTAACTGACGTTATGAGCATAACAAAACCAGTCTCTGAAGTTTCTGTTATGAATCGACTAACCTCCTCATACGTAACGAGATCTAATTGATCAAATAAAGCCGAATGCTTCTGAAGATACTTTGTTGTGTAATACTTCTTCTTCTTATTGAACCACATGCAATGAGCTGAAAACATTTTGATTCAAGAAAATTTCCAAAATAAACAACGGCGGGTTAAGAGAATCTATGATTGGGGTGAATGGGGCAAGAAAAAATGTTCACCTTCCGTGCATTCTCAACTAATGATATCTAATATCATTGAAGCACTGGATTGATCGTGAGGTATGGATTATGATGCAAATGATGAAGGCGACTGAAAAATATACTGAAATATGAGCTATCTCGGTTCCTAACTTACTATTGTCTTTGGCTCTCTCCATTGCCATGCACGCTGTCCTCCATTCCTGTAGTTCAGGCGAAGGGATAAGACCAGCAACCGAGGCACCTGGTGTGTGAGCACCACCTTGAGAACTGCCTAATGCTGGAAACGCATTCACGAATCGAGCTTGCCACCAGTTGTGGTCATCTTTTGAAATTACCTGAATTTGCGTGACCACTTAATGCAACTTTCACCGTATGCTTCTAATTAACAATGTTGGTCAGTAAAACTGATGACACAGGACATCGGTTCTCACGCTACTGCGCTTCATGCCCCCTCCTCCCACTCCATCTGTTTAATCCTATGACAGATCGCCATTACGGCCTAGGTAACCACAATATTTCCTCCTCTGACAACCTATTAATTTTTAGCGATGAATCACAACATGATCCATTAATCAGTTTGCTGTTAACAATTTCCGAGTTGCATCCAAGGAATTAATTATTTCCTTTCAAGCAAGCACTATGAGAAAAAACAAATTGTAAAACTAAGAGAGAATTACGGAAAAAATGAAGCGACAGTGATCATCTCTTGACACCCTGAAATTCTCCTTACGAAAATCGCAACTGCATGATTTGAAATAGTTGCGCGAGAAAAGTGCAAATGAAGAACTCAATCACACTTATCATAACAAAAAATCGCCCATAAAAGACGTTTTGTGATATTTTCAACGCGCCCAATATTTCACATACGAACACCAGCCAAGGCACCGAGCAGCTTAATCCGTACGAACAATCGTGAAAAGATAATCTTGACGATGAAGAAGTCATGAGTGCATCAAAAGTAGCGAACATGAAACGAACCTGAAGAATGTCTCCAGTTTTGAAGGGAACACCAGCTTGTGGGCACGGTATCAAATCATCTTGAGACGGGTCGTAGTCGAACTGAGCACGGACGAATATTTCACACGCCGGCGGTGCACTTCGATATGACGGCACAATTTTGAATGTGACAGTACCACGCGCATCACGAAGCATTCGTTGCAATGACTCAACACTCTGATTACTCACACTCACACCGTTTATCTCACGAATTTCATCACCAACGTGCAATGTTGCTGAAAACTTTTCACTTCTCAATACCACAATCATCAACTGAAATGTATCTCTCGAAAGTATATCAGCCAGAAGTTTGGAAGGTGCAACGTAGTGGGCAAGATGAAATCATTTCAAATTGATAACTGAGTCATTTTAACCGATGTGTTACTTGACCGACGCACTGCGAGCTCAAGAATGCTCCATTTTAAATGTGTCACTAAGAAATAATTAAATCGTTTTCGCTCCCAATTTATAAGCTTAATATAGCGACAACGGCATTGCAGGTGTGTGAACATATTTCAACGCTCTGCGAAACGAATACATCGCATCCTAATGCAACAAGAAAAACTTGCATCGCACAAATCCAATCACAAACAGACTGAAATGCTTTCTGCACAAAAAACATAAGATCCCGTTCAAGTTTCAGAACCTCAGCGCATTACTCACTAAAGGAACATACAAAAGCATATTCCTTGAAGAATAAAAAAGCTATACTTCGCACCTTGTCTATGAATCATCCCACCATGCATTATTCGGGCCACGAGGCAACGTCCATCTTCTGTTACCTAAAACACACCAAAATAACACATTTAAAATTTCACTTACATGAAAATCATTGAATCAAATAGAGCTCATGAAGAAATATCGCGGTAGTTAGATTCGATCCTTTCTAGAATCAACTCGAATGAAGTTTTTTACAAATTAAAACTGAAAAAAGTTAAAACTCAAGACCAACAACCTTTAATGTAATGCCCATCGGTTCCTCGGTATCCTTTTGGAATTGCACCAACCGAACTCGACTCACAACATCCATCATTAAATCATCGTCATCATCGAATAACGGCGGCACGAAGGTCGGTGGCAACTCATCAGCTGCTGATGCTGATGCCGTTGCATTCGCTTGAGACGGTAGGACACCTCCATTTAGATATGAGAACGGTAATGGGGGACTCTGCAAATTTCATCAATCGATATTAATAATTTCACTGCATTGAGGGAATCGTTCAGATGACATTTGTTGGAATTGTTCGGCAGAGATGAATCAGATTGCGAAATCAATCGACTGCTTGCAACGCTGAATAAGTTATAACAGCACTTCAGCCCATTTGCATCATTAGAAGTCAACTGAACGAACCTGTTCACTGTCGACGAATAAAATACTTCGTCAAAATTCGATTACCTGTGAAGAAGTGTGCGGCTGAGGTTGATGAACCAATTCAGGAGTACTCGTCGCATGACTGCTCGGATTATGTCCACTGCCTTCGTAAACTTCATGAATGATTACATCGTGTGCTTGTAGCACCGCCTAAAATCATTGTATAGCACTGCAACGGAAGCGTCCTACTATAAAGTAGAACTCGTGCGGTAATCTGAATGATATTTCATTGTGCTGTTCACAGAAGTGGATTGAAATTGATGAACTTGCAAATACCTGTAAATGAGCAGAAGAGAGGAGACTGCGAAGTTCGTATGCTTCGGCAGAAGGTTGAAGAAGACCATCGAGCTGCGAGCATAACTGAACAATATTCTTTTTCAAAGAATCATGAAACTAAATTCATTTCAGTGAATTCTAAGTAATCATCCATACATTTTAAGTAATCATCCATTCAATTTGATGCAACTGAAATAAATTTGTAGAGTTGGAAAGAAAGCGAAATATTCAATTTTGATGGACCGTATTATTGAAAGATAAATCTTCTGATGGCGTAAAGAAAAGCGTGAAATGAATGACAAGTGCAATGTGCAATTGCTGTTGGAACTGAAAGCTGACATCCTCGAGAATCTTTCCATTCAATCGTTGTGTTGTAACAAAAACCTTTTGAACCTTGCAATTCACAACGAAACAACTCTCTTTGTTGCACCTCAAAAGCTCCTAAGAACGAAATGCATAAAATGCTTTTTACTAAACTGCATACTACAATCTTCCATCCGCTCAGTGTTTTATTTCCAACACCTTCGCTGTGAATTTCGTGAATGGATCTCATTACAGAATCTCAGCTTTGCAGTTGCTAATGTTACACCAAATAATCATATAAATGACGACTACAAATATTATTTTACGGCAGAAAATAGTGATTTTTTTTGTTTTCAGGGAATTAGCGAGAACAAATATCTAATGGATGCAATCAATTTTTGTGATAATCCCATTAATCCGTCAACGCAGCAGGACGATCCCATATTGTGTTCTCTAAGAAATATCATCAGATGCTCATACATGTTATTATTTTTAATTGCGTTTTCGCAAATTACAACTACGCACAAGTAATGCGCCCAAAATGGGTAGTATGTTATTCGTACATGATAGTTTCGATCATGAAAGGTCACATTTTGAGCAGCACTGAAATAGCGACGCATTCGCAAGGACAGCGTTAATGTTGCTGTACAATTAACATAAGCACTTATTACGTCATTTGAATTTGACTGAAAAATATACTCCGCATCAAAGAAAATATTCCGCAAAAAATGTCGTATTCGTCAAATCACCATTGCAAAGGAACATTTCTTCTATTGGTACAATTTAAGATTCACACAAAGAAACAATGCAATCTCACCTCCTTGGCATACCGATTAGAATCATGCTCGAGAACGACTGGCTGAACGGAGAGGTTCGAAATTCGATCATACAGCTATAAATAAAACATTCTTCAGGGACTGACAGTGAAAGGAACTCATTTTCCTTTCTTAAATGAGACCGATGAAAATCGTCGCTGTCCTAAGGCAATTCCGGAAATGGCGGATTTATCTCAAAACATCTCAACAATCGTTTCGCATTTCATCTCTGTTTACATTCTAGAACTCTCTCTTCTTCCATTACTCGAACTTCTAAGTTATTATCTTAATTACTTGAATTTCACATTACTTTTACTTGGTACATCATGTAACGGGAGTTTCGAACCGAAACTATTCTACGATAATACTCGCTACTTGAAAGAAATGGACGCAATTTGTGAAGTTATGATGTGAAACTCTCAAGAGATTTATTTCATGGATGCAAATATCTTATTCTACCATGCACAATTTCAATTTTCAAATGATTGCTGAAAATTGATTGATTTCGTCAGCGGATGACGAACACTTTGAAGTGGATTTTTTTTTCTGATGTGCTTAGCTTATACGAGGTCTGCAACCAACCAATATTATTCACGAAATATTTGCAAACGTCGAATCCCTCCTGATACTTGTGTGCTCAAATTTTGACTTCATTATACGCATTCGGAGTTGAAACATCGACTTAATCATTCAGTTGTTTCCGAATATGCTTATGATTGACAGCGAGTCAGAACTGAGCGTTGCCATTAATATACTGTTTTCCTTTTTAAAACTCAATATTGCTTTTTTAAACTCAATACTGCCCGTGGAGCAAACGAAACCGAGAATGAAGGAAAAAATGAAACATTTTTAATGGTTTGCAAACATTAATGGAATAATACGCACAGTTTTTTTTTGCAAATAATGGTCAGCGTTAAATATCTAAGACACAAGGGTTTCAGCGCATTAAAAAGTTGACTTTTCAAATAGCCACAAAAGCTACGAAATACGCTACTATAACCAGAGACAGATGCAGAATCGGTATCTGGAATTAGAGTTTCACTATCGCTGACCGATTTTCGGACAGAGCAACTGAACGCGCGAGGTACCGAAAACGGGTTTGTGTACTTTTTCTTACAGACCACTGTGCAGTCCAACCCATTTAGAATGTGGATTGCAGATAATGCTAAACTAAATGAGAAGGTAAAAACGAAACGTCCGTTGAGATCTGAAGATATCTATTGTAGAATCCTTGGAATACCATTGAATGGGATCGTTGTCATCGTTTCAGTTCAATCTAATCATTAATTTTGACTATGCTTGATTACTTCGAAGACAACTCAAAAGATTATATCCATTCGAACCATTGTGCTGACAGCCTCATAAAAACAGGAGCTCAGTCAATAGCCACAAAGTGATACGTTTGTTGAATAGCTATGAAAAACTTCCAAAATTTTCGTTGAAGGTGTGGGTGAAGACCATCTCGAAATTAACAGCAATCACCAGTTTCAACGATCAGGATCTTTTCAACGATCGAACGATCACCAGTTTCATTCGCTTCCTCGACTTGTAATCCACTCTCTGATGCCGCACTCGATTGCGATCGCGTCGTTCTATCCGATGACTCTGAGCCATTCTCGACATCTTTCTTCTTTTTGCCATTTTTCGGTCTACTTTCCATCGGAGTATTATCGTGCACTAAGCCATCATGCATATGGATCGCGTAATCGCGACAGCAGAAACCTCGGTCGCTCAGTGCACCCGTACACAGCACACAAGTGATGAATATGAAGAACGATCCAATTAAGAGACCCAGTAAAATATTTTGAAAGACCGTCGAATTCATTGACACTCCGGAATTGGTCAACAGTAATGAATAAAAACCTGACGATTACGTTCTTCCTGGTACGTAACCATCAGTACTGAGTCTGAATTAATGTAGCGCTACTGAGATTAATGAAGCACTCCTGACTTCCAAGATGAACGTGTGATTCGACACGAGGACCAGTTGAAAAACGATACTATGAGATATGTCGATTTGCTCAACAGATTCCGATTCAAACCTTAAGAGTATGAAAGAACGACCACTGTTTCAAGATGTATCAACTCCTTCAGCGAATACAATAAGATGATCACTCGAAATTACTGAATAATCGACTCGAGTATACGAATATGCAGGCCTGATAACGAAACAATACAATAATGCGAATACAAGAAGGATCTTTCAAAAGAATAAGGAGCAAAGGACAGAGACAGCTGACTGGGAAAGGCGTCGAATGTTGAAATCAAGTGATTAGTGATTCGTTATCATGGCAAGGTAATCAACAAATAGGTCTGGTTCATCGATCTTCCTCCATCAAACTGTGAACAGTAGGTGCAGGGCAATAGCGAGAATAGAACGATGCACTGTCCAGAGATTAGCACAACTTCTTGTACACTCGCCTTTTAACTCGAACGTCAAGAGGGCGGCCCCAGACACTAATGGCCTCGGGCGAATGTGAAACGATACTGTGCGTTGCCTACTCGCAGAAAATGAATGTCCCTCATTCCGATGTTGTGTTTGCGCACATAAGCCAACAATAAATTATTGTCAGTCAGACAAACGGTTGCTGCTTGGTCAACGATCTACGAACAGAATGAGCATTTGAAAGCGGGCAAACAGTTATAGTCGTCTATGGTACTTTGCACCGATCGAGACGACTATTTGAGTAATATTTAATGGATCGCAAGAAACAACAGTGAACGATTCGCTAAAAATTAGTCAATTTGCACATTACAACATCGTTTAACTTGAACGTCTTTTTTGACAACTGGGATTGAATGAGATGAAATTCTTCGAAATATTCGTCAGTTCTCCTCTGCAACCAATGGCTAACCGTCTCGTCTATGCTGTTGTTGTCTTTACATTTCGTTAGTGAGAACCTATTGGTAATTATCAAGACCACAAATGCCTTCTATAGACATTCGCTTTTCACGATCCATCAATTCTTAATTGAATTTGCGAAGCAATTCTTCACAAAATTCTCATTTCCTAACGGTCGATACACAAACGGACTTCGATTTTTTGTATAAGGCATATCTTTATGCATCAGCCAACCAACTGCACGTTTGATTTTGGTGCATTGATGCTCATTTGAAAAGCTGGATATAATGAAGTGTGATCGCAATTACGTGCGATATTATGACGAACTTTGAGGTTTTATAGGTCATGAAAATATGAGTGAAAAAAAAAAACAACGTGATTAGCAAAACATCTTGCGAAATTGTTTTTTTTGATTCGTGGATCAAAGAATTATAGCGTTGTGTACGAAATTTATTGCTTTTGTTGGCAATGCAAGTGTGAAGATTTATGACTGCATTGAACAAATACTCGAGCATAATGAGTGCGCTGTCAGGCGATCATATACGAATCCTCCTAATCGACCATTGTTTTAAACCTTTTTGTAACGCACCGATCTTGTTTACTAACCGAATAAAGTCAGCAACAATCGCCAATTACAAATTGATTTGGGAATGAACGAAATGTGAAGTTGTAAAGAAGGAAGATATAAACATTATATAAGCCATCAGAATGCATGCAAGATACGAATTAATGTAATTTGAGAAAAACTTTGAAACACAACTGTTACACTGCCCACTGAATTATCTATATGCAATTATTCAAGCAAGTCGACTTTAGTAAAATTTGTTCACCGATAAATCAACTTAGAAAGCGATGATCACCGAAAAAATCTAACAAGTAACGTTCAGAGTCAGCCGCAACTCGTCATAGGAACAAAATATCGAAAAGATACGAAGACGCAAGGGAGAAATGCATCCAAACCACCGACTGGATTAAAGAATTATTGAGCTCATTCAAAATATGTTTCATCGGTAAGTGTTCACATGAATGGTCACAAATGTGGAAAACTTACCTCCTGATCAACTGTTACGGTGGTTAAACTTTCGTGATTCACTTCTTCCATTAACTTCGCATCAATAATCTTTAGTTACTATAAGAACACACTGCTGAAGGCATATACAAGATCGAAACGAATAGAGGACGATAGACGCAAATAACGAAATAATATCATCAATCACGAGAAAGAAAGGTTGATTGATGCAATTGGATTATCGCGATATTTGTGTTTAAATTAATGTAATTCGAAGCCATAGCCATGTTTTCGAAGTAAATTTAAATGTTTTCCACGTAATTTATAAGGGCGCTGCTTAACTTAATCTCGCCTTTAGCTCGACAATTAAAAGTATCAATTTCGTGAACACAAGCAAACACGAGAGTGCTCTTTGACAGTAGCATTTCGAAAGACTTGCTCATTTCGATGAAGCACGTCGCTATGGATAAATTATCGTCGTTGAGTTGCAAGGAAAGTTTATATGACGTGGCGAATAAAGCGAACGAGAAACGACTTCATTCAACATCACAAAGGAAAAAATATTGCAAGAGAACATTCGCTTAGCGATGTCGGAAACAATCGATATCGGAAATAAGTATCGGAAACAATCGACTAGTCAAATAATGACATATGAAAATGGTTGCGAGCATATGATTAAATGATTATTCATTCATAAGGTGCCAACAAATTGTTTTTGAAATTCGATGATGAAGACAGCAACAAAGCAAGTAATGAGATGCAAAGGGATTGCGTGATCCTGAGCGATTGCACAGTTGTTTGTTCACATTTCACGTCGAGAATTATTGACAGAAGCATCAAATTATGATGCATAAACAAAATTGCGACAACGAGCAGACAATATCACTTTAAATTGCAACTGAAAACGACGTTCAGCTATCACACACTGAGCATATACGCTTCAAGTTATGAGCTGAAGAACATGTCATGCTCGATTAATTGAGATTTTTCAAAAAAAATTTTCTTAAACAAATTCACGAAGATTCTGTAGTAACAGCAACAACAACGGAACATATGTTCCTAGCGGCATTGTTTGCTTGGATTTTTTAACATTTCGTCAAAAAAACTCAACCAACGTTACTTTGATTTGAGAAGTGAGTTTGCAACGGTGAATGTGGGATATTGAGTGAAAATTTCAAGTTCTGGTATTGATGGAAAAATGGACTGNGACTGGCTTACAATCAAAATGACGCTCACTAATGCCTTCGCGAAAAGTCGTGTTTTTCACTCACAGAAATTCAATGAATACTCTCGAATACAGATATTTTTGGGAAGAACTTTGCGGCCTCAGTACAAAGAAAGTAAAAGCCTTAGAAAGACAACTTGGCTGCACAATCGATCTGGGAACCTGGCGTGATAGCGAATGACGATTGGAAGCGATGTGACAGCACGTCATCAAGCAGTAATGCAAAGCTATTTTGATATGTGTTGTGCAGTAAGGACAGGGGATCACTTGGGCGATCATAACATTATTGATATATGAGTGTAATTTGCTTGAAGTGGAATTCTAAACGATTATCGCTTGGAAGTGCCGCAAAAAAGAATTTATGATCGCTAAAAGCTATCGATTGAGTGAACGAAACAATAGTTCCAAAAGGAAGCCTTTAGCTAGCATTGTTTCAGAATTCCTTTGGCGATAGAGAACTTGTTTGCGTAATGGAATAACTCTCACAACTATGATAAAGGTGCTCACGAAAACAAGAAATGCTCAGGCCGTGCAGCGTTTCTTGTTGGATAATTAAGAGTGAGAAAAATACAGCTAATACTATATGTATTATTCGAACTGTTAGCTATTCGAAAATACTTATGTAAACAAAAGAGTAAATGTTCACGTCGAATACAGCTAATACTCTTTTGCTACTCGAATGCAGGTGAAAACCCTCACAATACTTCCAGCTCAACGTGAAGTAGCGTGCGATTTTTCTGGAACGAACACGAAAGTGATTAGTATATCTCACCCTACATGGCATCATCGCATATGCTCCAGAAGCAATAAATGAATGTTGGCTGCACTGATGATAAAGATCTGTTTTTATTTGCATAACAAAGTGTTCAACGGTACAAGAAAATGAAACGTTCGATGGAATACTGACTGATTGAGCGATTAAATGATGAGGAAAATTGAAGAGCAAATGAAGATGCATCTACGAACGAAGACAAATACTGAAGTTGTTTGTTGATGCCAAAAGCATTCATTGCAAGCGAAGTAAGTCATTTTAAAAGTTCATTTCAATGAATGTGTTATTTGAAATGCATTCATTATCGATCAATAGCTTAATGCTCACTTGTAGCTTGTTTCTATCGCGCAAGCAAATCACTCTTTTCATGTCATTTCACCGTTTAACTGACGCTCATAGCAGCTTATTGTCGTGTTCTTGTTGTTGTTTTACGGCTGCTACTAAGCACATCGATATTTCAACTCAGACAAGCTTTTGACAGAAGTTGAAATTTAAGCTCGGTGATGCAAAAAATGAACAAAAAACCGAAAAAAAANAAAAAAAACAACTTTCACGGATGTTGTGCAATGCATACACGTAGATACGAGCACATTGACACAATCGGCTTGATCTACACCTTAAACTCATTGATACGATGAAGAGCAGAGGAATTGAGGATGTTTGACGGTTTATGAAGAAGACGCTTTTGTTCGATGAATGCGACAAGTGAACGATATTTAACGTAGAAGTGTGCTACAGATGGTTAATTCCCGATAGATAGCTTTCGCTGTTGTTCATGGTGCTGCATACTTAGCGTTGTGTTTATGGCATCGATCGCTTTGAAATCCCATTTTCGGCACAACAACTCGTGTCCAAAAAAATCGATACCTTCCCTACGGCAATTTGTGGAGACGGTAACTAATACATCAATGAATCGAGTTAGTCTCTTGAATAGAGGAAACCGAAGAATACGTTTGTGAGGAAAATTTACCACGCGATAATGCTATTCGGTCGTAGCCGACTTAACTTCATTTGGAGTATGAAAAACAAGTGTTGAGCAACAATGTTCTATTCGCGTTTGATGGCTTATTGAGATTTTTCTTTTTGATTTGATGTGAAATGAAATAATCATCTCTGCTATTGGCAGTTTCTTGCACTATGAAAGATGTTGCATCGTTAAAGTCTAACAAAAAGTTGAATTTATCGACGTATGCACACTCAGCAACAAAATTCTGCGCTTTTTTACCAATAAAATTGAAACGCATCATGAATGCTATAAACATTATTACGCGTAACCGGCAGTTAGAATTGGTAATCTTTACAACATTGAAGATAAGTTACATCTTTTGAATGATTTCTCTGTTGAGCGCAGATAAAAAATGACAATAAAGTTCAACATGAACAAAGCGGAGAAATGAAAAACGATGGAGAAATTAGATGAAAATTTTGTCACTGAATGGAGAGAAACATTTTTTGATGAAATGTTCTTGTTGAAGGTTATCTGAGAACCTATGGAGGAGAAACATTTGAAGAAGAGCAGAAGTGGAACGAATAGTATATATGGCAGTGGTTGGTTGTGAAGAGGACTGCGAGGACTCGTAAATTGGATAAGTGCGATTACTGGCTTCGGCTGCGCATACGAGAGCAACCAAGTGCACTCTTCGATTGCAGAACCTCGTAATCATTTTCAATTGATTCACTTACATCAACACAAGCATTATAATCGTTATGTGCTGAGACGTTATTCCATTTCTAATATTACCACCACTATTGATAGCAAGCACGAATCATATCCACTCGTTATCTCGCACACAATATGCGTGATCATGGCATTAAACAGAAAGTTGTTCGCTCATCGCTGACTGATATCATTTACAATTCTTGCTTAATTTATAGTTGAATTGGATGATTGTTTTGCCCAACAGTCAATTTTAGCTTGCAGATTCAGAATCAGACTAATGGAAGCATACTCAGCAAATTGAGGCATTACTAAATTGTTTGGATAGCAGATGCTTTCTTCGTTAATTTGCATACGAAAATAGATCTGCTCGAAAGAGGCTGAATGAAAATTTCGAATAAATTGACGCAAATGTACACATCACTTCTCAAACGTGCACATCAATCTATTTGATGCTATTGTTGACCGAAGCCAGTCGTTATTTTCGTTTTCATCCATAATTGGATGAAACATTTAGGATTCGGATAATTGAAATAGCCATTTTTGAAATGAATGAAGCAATATCAACAACGGAAATGGTAGATATTGCTAGTGCTTCATTCAAGTATTATCAACGATGCAAGTTAGTGTATAAAACGGAATGCAGAAAATCGTCCTCGAATGTACCTCAAATACTTTCGCTAGACTATTTAAAAGAAAATCGTTAAATACTTCTGAATACATCCTTGTGCTTGTTGTGGGCGAACAACCTTTTCTAGTGATGGTATTCTCAGGATTTTGTTTTCACTCAAACAAAAAATGCGCAAAAGCTGACTAACCAATAAAAGATTCCTCAAATCCGAATCCTCTAAAAGCCCATCATTTGCTTGATCCACAGTTTCAAGTACAAACGGGCGATCTGACAAGGAAGCGATTTGGTCGAGAGAAATGAGAACCTGAAAGTTATTCGTTGATCTAATAGTACGTCATTTGCGGACAAATTATTGATGCAGCGTTGCACTGTTCGAAATCATATTGATTATCAGAGCGGGCAACGGCTCAACAGACTAACAACTCGAAGTTCAACTTCAATAACGGAGAAACTAAAGTATAACGCTATCATAATCGCTAAGTGATTCACATTTCTGTATCGCCGTGACAATAAAATCGGTTCTGCTGATATGTTTCTGGGTTTTTTTCGCAGTTACAGTCTGCTCTGCAAAAGAAGAAAACTAAGATACCCTTTCGACACCAATTAAATCATCTGGAACGGTTTGCTCAGGACCACGTCTGGTACAGCCATCCGCATCACATGTGTCCCCTCCGGGTAATGTATCTCCACTTAAGATAGAACACATCGATCCCTGTGGTGATGTCCAGTTCGCTGACCATTTCTCATTATTTACAGCAGCCAAAATGTTGCTCTGAATATATCGCTGTTATGAAAGTTCAAAGGGCGAACGAGCCATGAATAAGTGAATAACAACGAATATCCAAAATAATCGGTGGTTTCGGCAGGATGAGCAGCACAAGATCATTACCTTGAGTTTCCTCCTTGAATTGTACCGTCGAATTTGTTCAACGGTGCTTTGAAGATGCCGTTTCGGAGCCGCATGTTCCCTTTCACGAATCCATTCATGATCCAGCGCCTCTTCAGCAGATATCCTGTTGTGTGGATCAACCGTCAACAACCTAATCAGTAAATCCTTTGCTGAATTACTTATGGATTGCCATGTGCCACCGCGATGCTGAAAAACCTAGCTGGAAATTAGCAATCGCGCACAACGGTTTTATGGATGCTTCAAATTCCAACTTAGCTGCATTCGAATAGGACAATTTTACAATACATTGTTGAGAACAATGATCCACCCAAAGGTTCACGGTGTCCTAAATACTACAGTTGAAGAGCTTGAAATTCACACTTGATATAACAGTTCAAGTACTTTCATCAATCATTACCACAATCAACTCTCTATTGAACCCACAGTCTGTAATCATGGCGTAAAAATGCGTCGTGCAAGCGAAAAATCTACTGAAAGCGAAAACTTGAAGTGTGGCAGTTGAAGAGCCAGGACAGGTGCTCTTCAAACTTTCTTCCATTTCGTCACATTCGACTAACGTGAATCACTATAACTACCTTATATAATCGTGAGAGAGCGATTAAAGATAGTTAAAAATAGGTTGAGCCCGTAATAAGTCATTCAGATGAGTTTCAACATACCGAATATCTTCCTTCGGTGATACTCTCATAAATTTCGCGATGCGAACCAACGAAAGGAAGCCTTCCACAAAGCAAAATATAAAGCAGAACACCCGCACTCCACATATCTGCCTTTGTTCCGTACTCCATATTACTCACAACTTCAGGAGCCATAAATTGTGGCGTTCCAACACGACCTTCAGAAAGAAAAAGATCATGAAGAAGTGGGAACGAAAACATTTCTAGGGGATAATTTTAAGTCATCACGAGAACTACCTCAAATACTCCATAAAATTGAATATTCAGATGTACTCAAGCAAGGAATAGTTCAATAAATAAGGTTCACAGTGAGATGAAGATTGAGTTGCGAAGTTGGAAAGTGAAAATAATATCCTGAATGAAGCGAATGCGAAGATGACAATATTTCAGGGTAACAGGATAAATTTATCTTTTTTAATTTTTTGGAATCATTGCGTTACATTTTTTTNTTTTTTTGAAAATGTCAACTGTTCGTAGAGCAGATGTTTTTTAAACGCAATAACACAAGTCGATTAATTTCTGATGATGCGATGGAAAATCTATAGGTGGTATGAGCATTACACTGACCTCCCGAAATAATCGATTCTGGTGACTCCAGTTTAATAGCAACACCAAATCCGGTCAGTTTTAGTGGTGCTGAATTGTCTTTGCTGAACGAGTAAATTATGTTTACAAATTGCAGTAATGAATAAATCTGTGATTTATTAACAATGAATTTGAAGTGTATTTGAATAAACAATTATTGTCAAATCATATTTTGAAATGTCTTTTCCACAGCAACATCAGTTGTTCCAGAGAATGATTCAAATTTCAAATTTATTGAATTCCTTTTATCAGCCCATCATTAGAATTCGCTATTTGAAAGCAAGAGTGGTGATTAACCTCGCCAAGACGACGTTATGTGGCCGAATATCACGATGAACAATACCCTGAGAATGCATGTATTGCAGCGCTTGCATCAGCTGCTTCATATAGTGGCTGTAATGGTCACTGATAAATTTCATAAATACGCTTTTTTTTACAATCACTGTATTGCATTAATTATAATTTTCTATTTCTGACGTTGACATTCTCTTTTGGAAAAGTGTTTCTGACAACGAACGCTTCTTATAACATAACGGTGAGACGTCATTCGTCGATTCTATCGATTTTGGAGAACGGAAAATATGCAGAGTGGAACATCACTGCAACACTGAATCCAATAATTATTACAGTCCCGGAAGGAATGAAATCATTTTCGAAATCTTCTGAGAGTGTTTCATTCCAAATACAGTGCCACATTTTACGCACATCTCGCACTATCATTCACTTTTTACGCATCAACATGAAGCGTGATTTTGATACGATAATCTCTATTCAATGTGTGTTCAGGCATTTGAGGAGGAAACTCAAAATGCCATTTAGCGCCCGCTGATTGTCGTTTTAAACACTGTAATGGAGTTCTCGAAAATGCAATAAATACTTGTCTAATATTTACATCAGTTTGTAAATTGCTCACATGTTCATTAGAAATCGATCATCTGATAACACTATCTCCTTGCACATAAACGCGCATTTTTACAGTCATTGAACAGTGTGAATTTCTTGAATTGAATTGACACATTGAATTTGAAAATGATATAGGAAGGCAAACGAAAATCAACCTCGCAACTGCTTCGCTATATACAAAACCAGCACTGGCACGTTTAACGATCTCAAAGCAAATGTCGTCACCATCCAAGAACTCAAACACCATATGAACAGCTTTTTCACCAGCAATTACATCTCTTAATTCGCACAAAAAAGAGTGCTTCAACTGTGCGCATATTTCGATTTCTTTATCAACATCTGGAATGCAGCACACTTGAAGGTGAACGATTAGTGATAAATTTCACGTAAGACTGCAATCAGCATCCGAACTGATCTGCTGACAAAAAATCAGAACTTTTACACGTTCGCTTATTCATAATAGTAGTTTCGAAGGGAATATCTTACGTTACACTACTTGAAAAATGCAAAAACAGAGGTGGTCGTGCACGTTCTGACCCTATGAGACACCGCTCAATAAAACTGACCGTCCCTTGTGAGTCCCGATGTGGCAGTGTACTTTTGCAAATCGATACTTTTCACAGTGAACAGTCTGGAGCTCGTTCGATGCACAGCACGGTAAACAGTACTTAGTGGACCTCTAAGATATTACTCATCATTTTATTTTATTGTTCCCATTCACATTCACATCACCATAATCACTAATTCAAGTGACCCGTTGCACTTCATCATCCTCGTCGTAATTGGCTAATTAGGCAATCAAATTAATATCGTGCAATATGTCAATTTCCATCTCAAAAAATTTGCATTATTTGCTTCTTTCCAAACTGTAACAAAATGCTTTTAGACACTACTCCATTTTTGATTACGAAATCGCAATCGGCTTCCATATTCACTTTTGTAATTATTAATGATTCGTTCCGTATGGTGAATCATCTCGATAGTTAGAATGCTTGTAGTAGTGAGTGGCGAATGGAGAAGCAAGGAAGAGTCACAAAACTCTTGACAGATAGAATGACTTCACGTCACCCTATAATCCCGTGAGCCACCCGCTTGCGACGCACTCATTCTAGTCAACACTATCACTAGCACACTCTCAACCTCCTCTTATTAGATGATCAAAATCAGCATCGCATGTGTGCAAAATCTAGAACGGAGCTTTTTGATGCATTTGTTTGCGAAAGTCTATAAAAAATCAACTGCCGAAGTAACAGTGAAAATCGTGTGAGAATTACGCCAATGTCAAAGACTTGTGATTTTATGGCTTTGTAACGAAATATCTTGAGATGCTAGCTGCTTTCAGATAATCAGCTACTCCCGAGCATAACGGAATTGAACGCTTTCCAACATTATGGATGAATTCGCTTACCGTTCGATGAGATCTCCAATTTGATAGTGATGAGCAAGTAGAGCGGCCTCTTCGCTCTGAGCCCATTGTGCGCAAGAAGACATTACGTTTTAAGGCCATCCAGTGGTTCAATACACCCAAAAGGCTAAAACTTAACCATTCATCAGTGGTCGTATCCCACCTATACGATGCCGTAACAAACACATCTGCTGTCGCTATGCTTGTCATCACAACAGCAATTATACCATTAACGCTTCGAATAAAAACGATACGACGATCATTAATGTGAACGCCATTCCAGCATACATCAACAATATTGTGTGCACACGTAGGTGCGAATGTTTGTGCGATATTACATCAATTTACCAATTTATCATAATGCTGCTAGTGAAGAAGACCTTCAACAGTGCTATTTAGGCAATGTACGTAATAATTATAAAACTGATGAAAGGATAAAAAGTATGACGCAAAAAACAGATGTCAGTGAATACCTGAATTTACTCATCAACTAACATGTGAATGATCGGGAATTGAAAGATTTTGTATGGAAAAGGGTATCATTTAAAACATTTTGAGGATTCCATCTATCCATGAACGAAACTACAATGCAGTTCATAGGAGCAGAGCTGAAAACCGAAGGATTTTTTTTGTTGCCTACCAACCGCACCCATGCGTCAACTGTTTACTACTTCAGAAGATGGCCACCGATCCAACCCAATATCGTAGTTCTTCATCCTTTCTACAGAATTTGCTTAGTCAAGAGTACATATAAGAACAGATATCTGAATATATCTGAAGGAAACCAATTATTTATTTAGTGGATCGAAAAGTATTTGTAATAATGCATGAAAAATTTTACTTGCCATGTCGCGGATTATCGATGATATTACGAAGGCAACAGAATGTGTTTTGACAGATGTCGAAGAAATTGAATTCGATTAGAAATGTGTTGTTGAATTAGAGGTTTGAGTGAGACCACTTGAGAGGAGCATGCGCATATTTTCGACTGCTGTTCAGCTTGTAGTGTTAATCTGTTACTACTGCAGGCAACCGGCATCAAAGCATACTCCTTATGTATTCTTGTGAAAAATAATAAGTTGTCGAATAAAGTGCTAACGGTGTCCTTAACAACAATGATTTGACAGAACTAATAAACACAATTAATGAAAAATTGTGATCTGCTGCTTAATGATTGTTCACGTAAAAACGCACTATTGCTTCTATCCTGATGACAACAAATTCACATATCCCAATATTATCTTGAATAATTGAATTAATTATATTACTACAGACTGAGGAATCAGTCTTCTTTAATCTTTGGAATAATAATCAATACTCGGAGAAAACTTCAAAATTGTGGCGTTCGTGGAATGCTGACGCCAGATTGCCTCAAGCTGCTGTCGCACAAGCGGTGAATATGGTCAAGTTTTTCAACGTTACGAACGGTAAGTAGCTACAGTTGAAACTGAGCAGAAACGAGCAATAATTTATGGTGATTATGACTTTCCGAATACTCGAATGATATGTGGTTGTTGATTGACGATTATGGTTGGAGAGAAAATGGCTAATTTGTGCATAGAACTTTAAGGAAGATAGTCAGCCGTTTTGTTTTAGAAATCGGCGAAGAATTTTTGAAAAATACGACGAATATCTTGTCGATATTATGAGGATTACTTCAAACTAAAGACTGACTGAATTCATAAGATTGATCAATAAAATTAGGAGGACATGAACGCAGAATTCATTAATATTGCATACAGCAAAAGAAACGACGATTACTGGTCAGCTTCAGCAAATCCATGAACGTAATTTTTACATGAAGTATCATCATCCAATTGTGGATGTCGTCAATGCAAGTTAATGAAATTTTTACACGAAAACACATTCTGATTGGGTGTTTGTTCATATAGAAAGCATGTGTTTGGTGACGTTACGAATCAATTAATGAGTGAAGACGCGACACTCAACAGTACAAAAAAGGAAATGTTTGATGTGCTGTGCAACGATGTGACTCATTTTGAAAGGCTGCAAGCAAATTAAGTGATCATTTGTGCGATTCGTTTCCATATGGCACTAGTGGTTAAGAGCAAACAGTGGAACACTTTAATGTTGAAATAGCTCAACTCAACTGAACTAAATATCAAAAGAAAATTATTGCAGTGCATCAGTGAATTCATTCCTGTTTTCTTGTCACCTAAGTAAACATCACCAACATCAACTCGTGCTCTTATTGTTCGCTGAATGTTTTTTCTTTCAACTTTCAACTGATAATGAAGGAAACATTCATTTGAACACGTTCACTCACGCACGAGCAAGCAGCACTCATTCACGCAATCGCCACATACAAATGCATTAATATTCCTTTTATCGGTGATTCATTCGCATTCCGAAGGTGTAGCGCGTTCAGCCGTGGAAACAATACTGTCATTTTCAAGCTGTCAAGATGGTGGTGCATTAACTCAAAGAGGAAAAACCATAATGGATTGTGACTGGAATGAATTTATTTGCACAAAATTCCGAACAAATCAACAAATGGACTACATAATGCTCTTTGGAGACCGATTTTATATGCTTTAGGTGACAATCTAACTTCTGCACTACCACCAACATTAGAATACGCAGTCAACTGCCATTCCAAGTCCTTAGAGCGTAACAGGTTGATGATTTGAAAATAGCACAACGAATAATTGAAGCATATCAGTTTCGTGAGATTTGTGCTGATCAAGAATGACAAATACGGTTACGGTTAAAGTTGATGTGTTAAAGACGATTAAACGATACATCGCTTTCAAAAATATTCGCGCATTGATATAATCGTCTTCAATCGCAATGAATAGCGCGCACTCAATGCAAAGAAAGTGCTCGTGGTTAATGGCCAAGAACAAAACGCGCCCTGATTGAGATGGATGAATTGTAAATATTTACAGAATACGTCGTTGATATTTGAAGACGTAAAACGTGTGGGATATAATAGGAGATACTGAAGCGATTTGCATTTTATACGACCGATGAGGAAGTTTTAGCAGGGAAAGTGAAACGAGTGAGTTGCGTTCGGTGATCATTAGAAATGCATGGAACCGATAACGAGATTTCACTTAAGAGTGAAACACTAATGCAAAATGCGTAGAAGATTGCTTGGAATCACTGAAAATTAATGCAAATTGCCTCCATCACTGACCACTTCTGATAGTTAACCAAACATTTCGTAAACGTTTATAAGAAAATACGCGAAAACTGCTTGCATTTTAATAACTCTAATGGAATGTTCCCCTAAGGACTTTGTCTAAATTTACCCTATATTTATAGTTCCCTTTGAGGCAATCAAAGGAGGAATGAATGACATCTCAGGAAAAAGCGCTTTTCGAAAGGGAATGTGAAAACTTCGGTTTTCGCAAAAACTCCTCTAACAGTAAATCGTTTGGCAAACAACGACAGAATTGAAGAAAACAGAAATTTTGGCTCATCATTCGTAACGATCAACTAAACTGGTAGACTAAAGATGAGAAGAAACCCCTAAGAAAGCACAAAAATTTTCTTAGAAAATATCACTTGTAACACTCCACAAGGAACTGACTGCTTGTCGTAAATGGTATTCACAGTGTGGTGCCTTATTATTACAGGCAACAAGTCCGTCACTAGGACACCTTCGCTATTAATTTATTCGTTGCATTTCGCTTGCACTACGAAAAAATTCAATCATTTCAATTGCTTTGATTCATTCAAAGTATTCATTCAAAATCGATATTCATTGAAAATTTGTTTGATTATATTAAATCGCCCAACTCACACATTTGCCAATAAAATGAGTCGTAAACAACATCAGATGAATACGACCACAGCAGAAGCATACGGGAGAAAGGGAGGGGAGTCAATTTTAAAGAATCATCAGTCGATCATAGATCCGCACAGAAAGTATTCGGTTCTTTACGCGAGCGTTTTCATGGCTTCACAGTAGCTTCTGAGCATTGAGGGTATCAAATTTTATAGGGTTTGGTGAAGTGATTCAATAGTGCAAGGTAAATTTGAAGTGAAATCGAAACCGCTGTACTATACAATATTAAACATGAAGTTCTCCGCAAAGATTTCTCGGAGGAGGCAATCAATACGAAACATTCCAATGACAAAAACAAAGACAGCTACTGAAATGTTTATGTGATAAGGAGGCAATGATGAATGGAATGAAGGATGCAAACACCAAAAATATCGCGATAAGAATATGAATAGCATTCATTATCTGACATGTATCAATGAATATCAACTAGGTATTTATTAGCGTAAGCCGAACTGGACAATCGTTTGAGATATGTGAAAATGTGAATAATGACAACCCGATCACAAAACATCAATAAATTACCTTTGTTTAACTGAATATCATCAGCATTATATGCCCTATTCGCAAACATAAGACGACATTGTGGTTCTTTGCATTAGCATAAATGTAAACGTATATGGATGCATACGCATATGCATATGAAAACACATTTAATCAGCCACAAATAATGATGGGTAGACGATGTCAAGAGAACGTTTCTGAAAGGGACAGAAAACGATGCAAATGGTCATTTGATAAGGAGCTTGTGACTGTTTCATTCGTTTTCTATTTGGTTTTTCGAAAGATGATATGCTTCCAAAGCTTTTACGCTTGTTGTTTTCGTCAGTGTAGCGTATAATAAACATTGTTATCAATCCATCAACTGCTAGCGTTTCAATTTCAGTTTTCCTTTCATTTAATGAGATTTATAAAGAACCTTGAAAGTGCTACACTTTTAATTTAATAAAGTGCTACACTTTTAATTCAATAAAGTGCTACACGTTTAATTCAATGTCATTAAATGAATTCTACAGTTGATAGCAAATGAATGCCTACAAAATGATACGCTAAACGTGAATGAATATGTGAGCAACAATTGAATTTTAATTTTCACAGCTCTTTATTCAGCTTATGAACTGAAAATTATAGCGATGTACATCAAATAGACAAGCAACTTTCTTTTTCTCAATTCAGAAGCGAAGAAGTTGGATTAAAACTGAGTTTAGTGAAAGACACATTAAAACGGTGCTGAAAACAATCGTGATTAACAATCTCAACAAATTCATTTTAAAG